AAGATATATTAAAAATAAAGTGACGATCAATAAGAATTTACAATCATAAATATGAGTATAAAGATAAACATTTGAAATTTCATGAGAACATATTAATATTTACAATAATTAAATATTTATAAATTCTAAATTATTTTATACCTTAGATTTCTTAAAAGGTAAATTGAAATTTTTTAAACAATCTTAAAAATGAGAACTTCGATTTACTTAAGTATTTTGATTATTTATCTATTAAGTTCCATAAACATAAAAAACATAAAATTAAAAAGCAAACTATATATTAAAAAGAATTTTTAATAATGATAAAATATTATATTTTCATTTCATTAATAGTGTATAGTGCTACGCTATTTAAAAAAATTTGAAATTATTTGATCAGAATATTTATGTGTTAAAAAAAGTTATTTTATTTTTTAATATCTCTTAAATAAACACTAAAAATGTTGTTTTATGAAAATGTCGAAAAATATTTAATTTCGTTTATATATAAACATTTTTATTTCAGAAATATTTCTTTTTTTGTATATGTGTGTTTAAAAAGTAAACATAAATTAAAAAATTAAGTAAAATCTTATTATGAGAAAATGAAATACTTTATTCATATCAATCTTATTTTAATATTTTTGTTTATTAAGAGTATCTATGTAATTAACCATCGTGAGAGTTAGCGTGAGCGAGACACGTAGGAAACTGACTTCTCAAATAATATTATAGAGATACATTTAAATTAAATATTACTATTTTGTGAACTTTCCTTTTTTTATTAAACCATATTATATATACTTATATTTTCGTTTTTAAATAGTTTTGTAAATTTCATAAATGTTTCCTTTTTATTTTATATTATTATTTGGAAATTTCTGAAAAGGAAATAATATTTAATTGTATTTTTAATTCATTAGGGGTATCATAGTAATCAACCAGCGTGAGAGTTAACGTGAGCGCGACACCTAAGAAAGTGACTTCTCAAATAATATTATAGAGATTATAGATTAACAGAAATCATATAAGAAAATCAAATATCAAGTCAACTGAAAATATAATATAACACATGAATCCAAAGTTATATTCAAATAATTAGTTTGTTTATAATAGAGACTATTATAGTTTATTATATTATGTTTTCTTCGGTAGATTCAATTCAAAGTGAAGTCATCCTTTTTGTGTATACTACTCCAAAAGAGAGAGAGAGAGAAAGTGACTTGAAAACAACCAAAATTGAAGTCATGTGTTTGGATTAAACATATCATTTCTCATACTAATATGCAGCACAATATATTTTTTAGTTTATTGAATTCTGATAAATTATACACTAAATTGGATAATACTTTTCAAAACTATTCTAACTTTAAAATTTAAGGTTTAATGATTATTATTAAGAGTAATAGTTAAAGGATGGGGTTAAATTTATTTAAATTTTATAAATAAATCTTAAATATTTATAATAGTTTTATCTTTTTCATGATAAACTAAATTTTATGAAAATATAGTTATAATTTAAAGGTAAACATGATAGCGAATACAATGACGTTTGGATCAAAGTTCGTGGGCTTTACTTGTGTAGCCCATTAAAAAGTTTTTTTTGTTGGGTTTAACCTTACATATATAATCCCTGGTTGGTGATCGAGGAGAAACTTGTGTCGCGTTTCTTCAAAAAGCTCCAAGCCCTGATTCGATTTTGCTTTCGCTTTCACTTTCACTTTCGTTTCTCTCAGGTTTGCCTTGTAGAAACTTAACATAGGAAATTTATAATCGAAGCCTATGATTTGTCAGTTGTTAATATATAGTTTTCTAATGTGTGTCAGGAGATACAATGACAAAGTGGTCTATCGAAGCCATTCGGGCAGAAATGGGAGAGAGGGATGATAAGATTTTGCATGAGAGAGAGATACCCATGAAGAGGAGGAAGGCTTTGAGGAACTTCTCTCTGGCTGAATTGGCTCTGAGGAGGCTAGAGGTTAAAAGAATATTAGCATTATATGCTATCCAGGCTGCAGAGAGGAAGTCTGCTCAAGAGATAGAGAGGTGATCACCACTATTCTCTCTACACTGATTTGATTTGCAAACAAACATTTGATTTTATTTTCTTATTTGTTTTATTTTCTTATTTGTTTTATTTTGTAGTAAAATGAGATGCATGAACATACTCATGGATCCTCCTGTTACAGGTAAAGAGATACATACGATCTATCATCTTCCTACTCATGAATTGTGATTGTCATCTTAATTAATATGATGTCTATTGACATATACAACATCTCCAAACAGGTGCTGGGCAATCTTCAGGAGAATCTGAGCGCAGCAGCACAACAACAGAAGAAACACATGGAAACCATACATGGTCCAAATGAATAATCTTAAAAAAATGAGAACAATCGCAATTCTCATGCTTTTCCATGTTTATATATGTTCGAGACAAAATTGCAGCCACCTTTTTCGGATAATTTGTCAATGAACTTGCTCTTAGTTAACTCTTGTGTTTCTTCAGAGAACAAATCATTTTTTTTTTAATCTAATTGGAATTGGAATGGATGAAACTAGTAAGAACAATAATACAGTGTTGTGTTGCGTTGATGAGGTGGAAGAGCAAACTTAGAGTAACCGGCCTCGTCTTCTCCAACATACTAAACGTTCGGGGAGAGGAGACGCTCAGGTACTGATGATGATTCATCTCATATTTAATCAAGAAGACTCTTATTGCGTGCTATATGTGCAACACGGATGGGTGGGAGAAGCAGAAAAAGCAAGGCCCAATTCCCAATTCCCAAGGCCCAGAGTTATTTATATATTTTAAAATAAGAAGTCTTTTATCTTGTATCTGGAAGCTGCGGCCGATTCTATCACCTACCTTTCACTAAAAGAATGGCTTCTTCTACGCTATCAAAGCTAGAGATGGCCACGACCTTCCTCGCTTTCACCACTCCTCGTTCCTCCACCGCCCTGACCTACCGCTTCTCCTCTGCATCCGTCCCGCGTTTCTCAAGTCGCTGCATAGCTTCCGTCAGGGCGAACCCGTCGTTACTCTATTCCCCTGTTGTGAATTCCAATCGAATTCGAAGACTCTCCTCCGTTTCGGCCTCAGCTTCCGCGTCGGCGCCACCGCAAACAGAAGATTCCGATGTTACCACTAAGATTCCGCCAGACAACCGAATTCCAGCTACTATAATCACTGGCTTTCTCGGCTCTGGCAAGGTCATTGTTGTCTCTTATTTACAATCCACATTCTTTCTTGTTTTGGTTTATTCCGGTTATTTAAGTAGTTGTGATTTTGTTTTGGTTTAGTCAACTTACTGTGCATTTACTTTACTTACTACTTTAGTTTTGTTGATTAACTCTTTTTTTTTATTATTATTATTTTTTTTACAGACGACGTTACTGAACCATATACTGACTAGAGATCATGGGAAGCGCATAGCCGTTATCGAGAATGAGGTATCTTGTCATTAGTTTAATGTGTGGCTTATTCTAAGCTCTAGTTTCTGATTCATGTGAATGTCTCTTAGTTTGGTGAAGTTGACATTGATGGGTCACTTGTTGCTTCCAAATCTGTGGGAGCAGAGGATATAGTGATGCTCAACAACGGCTGCCTGTGCTGCACTGTTAGGGGTGATCTTGTGAGGATGATTTCAGAGTTAGTCAACAAGAAGAAAGGAAAGTTCGACCATATTGTGATTGAGACTACAGGTAAGTAACATCTTGTAGCTGCCGCCAAGCTATCTCTAGTTATGGATATGATGTAACTAACGATTTTTTTTTTTTTTAATCTTTTTCAGGGTTGGCAAACCCGGCTCCCATTATCCAGACCTTTTATGCGGAGGAGGAGATTTTCAATGATGTGAAACTAGACGGCGTTGTTACTCTAGTTGATGCTAAGCATGCTCGTTTGCATCTTGATGAGGTCAAACCCAAAGGTGTTGTCAACGAGGCTGTTGAACAGATTGCCTATGCAGATCGTATCATAGTTAATAAGGTAACTAACCTTTTACTACTTCCAAGAGAATGTCATAGTAGTATTAGTGATTTTGAGAGGTTGAAACTGTCTTTATCATTAGATTCAGGTTTTTCCTAGTTCATTTGCATTGACACTTCGTAAGTGATGGATCCTTGTTTTTAGCTTGACGTATGGGGAAGTTATTGATGGTTCTTACTTGGCTTATCTGATCTTGTTCTGAAATGTGATTGTGCTTTTTTGCAGACTGATCTTGTTGGTGAGTCAGAGTTAGGTTCAGTGGTTCAACGCATAAAGGTCGATTCTTCTTCTTCTTCTTAGATGTTACTTACTCCCATGTTAACGTATTTGGTGTGGCTATCTGCAGACGATAAACAGCATGGCTCAGATGACGAGGACAAATTACGGAAACGTTGACTTGGATTATGTTCTTGGAATCGGAGGTTTTGATCTAGAGAGGTCTGCTTCTTTCATGTTCCATTTATCATCTGGTGTCTCGTAGCTTCATGCATTTATTAAGGTGTTAGTTTCTTACGTAAATCCTACGTTTATCAGAATCGAAAGCTCTGTTACCACCGAAAATGATAAGGAAGGTCACGACGAACATCACCATGATCACGACCATGATCACCATCACCACAATGAACATGGTAAGTTTGGTACCTGAAAAAGGCATGATAGCTTATTGATTCAGCTTTATTAACGTGGGCTATTGGTACTGGTCTTTTTATCATCACAAACTAATGTCTGATATTTTGGAACCGCAGAGCATCATCATTCTCATGATCATGATCATGATCACACCCATGACCCCGGTGTTACTTCAGTCAGTATAGTTTGCGAAGGAAGCTTAGACCTTGACAAGGTATTAAACAGAGAGGCACACTAAAGTCTTATTTAAGAAAATCGAAACCGTACGTTAACCTTCTTTTATCTGACAATCATATCAATCAGGCAAACATGTGGCTAGGGACGTTACTGATGAATCGAAGTGAGGATATCTACAGGATGAAAGGTCTGCTCTCGGTCCACACTATGGAGGAGAGATTCGTGTTTCAAGGAGTCCATGACATTTTTCAAGGATCTCCAGACCGGTTATGGGGAAAAGACGAGGCTAGAGTCAACAAAATCGTCTTCATTGGCAAGAATCTGAACCGGGAGGAGCTAGAGAAGGGTTTTAAATCTTGCTTGATTTGATTTCTCCAATCATTTTACAATTCAAACCCATCCTATTGTCCCAAGTACAAACTCTTGTTTCTCTATTCTACTGAATTTTATTCCATTAACCACAGTCATTCATAGTAACCCTTTGATGGCTGCTTGAGAAATAAAATAAACCGCCCATAGCAATAAAAATAGGCCCATTAAAGGCCCCATATGTACACTAAAAGCTCAGACAAGCGAAAATCATAGACGGTAGAAGTCATTTGCCCGATTACGAGAGATTTGCTCTGCTCGACTGCTTGTTTCGATTCGCTCGTTGATTGGATTTGGAATGATGGAAGAGGACGATGATTACGTGGAGTATGTTCCAGTGGCGAAGCGTAGAGCAATGGAAGAGCAGAAGATTCTTCAAAGGAAGGGGAATGTGTTGGAGCTGGAGGAGGAAGAAGCCGAGAAAGAGAAGCTCGCAGAATCCAAACCAAGCTTGCTAGTTCAAGCAACTCAGCTCAAGAAAGACGTACCCGAAGTTAGTGCAACAGAGAAAATTATACTACAAGAGAAGGAGATGATGGAGCACTTGTCATCTGGATATTTTATTCACCGTCAAAGAGGATACTCAACTCTAGTGATACTCTGATACTGGCAAATGTATTAATTTAAAATTTTGTTTAGTTTTTGTATTATGTGATAGATAACAAAACTGTTGACAGAAACAAAAACGGTAGGGGAGTAAAACCTGTTCTTTATGTTACGTTTGAAAATTAATGTTATCACCGTATACACTTGATTTAAAGATACTTTCAATGAGTTTAACAGTTAAAGATCTAACCTGTGACCAATTAACTTGAACCTGAAAAATGACACATTCATAAGAAAAAGGTGACATACCTTATAATACTAAACCCTATTTACTGTTAAAAGCTTACAACAGCCATAGTTCTTTTTGTTTCATTTACATGATAATTTGGCAAATATGTGAAAGATTTGATAGATATGTCCATATAGAAAATTTAAAGAGGTAAAATGTTAAAATTATGAAAAATCTTTTTGACATGTATCAAAAGAAAAAAAAAAACATAAAGTGATCGCAATTAAATCCACCAATCATGGGAACAATTAAAACTTTGACTAATAAATTACTCCATAATGTGATCGCAATTAAAACTTTTGACTAATAACTATTTTTGAACATGAAGTTTGACTGATATTTATTTTGATTTACTGTTGAACTTTTGACTAAAATTTAATTGAGAGAATCTGTTAATCACAGTCTTGTGACTATAAATAGAGACTACCATTGCATCATAAACTAAATTCATTCATAAACAAAAAGAAGAATAATACTTAAGAAGAAGAAAAATACACAGGAAAAAATGAGTAAGGTAATGAGCATGGTGTGGATAGTTATGATACTAGCGGTAATGGTCATAGAAGGTGAAGCAAAAACTGAAATAGAATGCAGTAAGATCTGCCGTCCCCACTGCCAGCGCTCATCACCAGCGTCAGAATGTGCAGCTTGTCGTACAAAATGTTACAAGTCTCCACCAGTTGCAATGAGAGGCAGGAACCGTCGCATGGTTCCGGAAGTTCACAAACAGCAATAGATCAAATGTAACTTGTTTTCACTTACATATATATATATAGAAAGATACACATGCTGACTTTATACAATATGTTTGGATGTTGACTCGTCCAAACCTTTTAATACTTATACGTTGGTTATCGTTTAATAAGATGAGATTATTCTATGTTATTTCTTCTGTGTTCTTTTCTTTTCTTTTCTTTTGGTTATTTTGTCAAAAATCAACATGTTCATCCTCTATCAGTTCAAGTTTAAAGATTACATAAAGTTAACCGATAGTATGTTATTAACTTGTTCGTAAACCAGCTCAATGTTATTGATAGTAAATAATTCGTAAACTGGCTCACCAAATATTGGTTTGTTACCTTTCTCAGCAGTAATCAATGGAAGGAGATAAACCTCATGCATTTATCCATAACTTGTATCTCAAACATTTATTCATATTCATATGGAGTATATCAAGACTGATAAGATTGTGAAAACTAAAAAGACATAAGAGATTGGATTGTCAAAGTCAACGATATAAACGGTTACAAACTCTTCCAGCGTTAGAAGAACAGGTGGCAAATGGAGCTGAATTTAAGAAGGATGATCTTATAACATTGACCTTCCACCAATAGAAGCCACAATGAATACATCACCATCCTCTAGAGTAAATGTGAACGGTTTAACTCTCCAACAATATCTCTGACTCTGCTTCAGCTTTTCTATAGATAAAAAAAAGCATTGATTCATTCACCAAAAAAAGAAGAAATGGCAGGAGAAAATGGGTTCATTGGATCAATAGATCAAGGAACAACCAGCACCAGATTCATCATTTACGGTCATGATGCTCGTTCTGTTGCATCTCATCAAGTTGAGTTCACTCAGTTCTATCCTGAAGCTGGGTACTCCCTCCCTCTTTCTTATCTTCTTGTTGACTTTTATCTTTCTTTATTGTTATGTGATTAGTCTGAGAAGTAGGTGACAATTTTATGGTTGATGATCTTGTTATATTGAATCTTGATCTGTCCTAATGTTTGTAGTTCCTATTTCATTATTACATTTTTTTCTGAACGATTTGTTTGTTCTCTCTAATATTCTGTGAGTTTTGACACTGGATAGTTGTTTGTGAATATGGGAATAAAGATGGGTGGAACATGATCCAATGGAGATACTGGAAAGTGTGAAAGTGTGTATGGCAAAGGCTCTTGACAAAGCCACAGCCGATGGACACAACGTGGACGGTGGCTTGAAGGCCATTGGGCTTACGGATCAGAGAGAGACCACTGTCGTCTGGAGCAAATCCACTGGACTTCCTCTCCACAAGGCTATTGTCTGGATGGATGCTCGCACCAGCTCCATCTGCAGGTACAATACATTATAACATCATTTGAGATATTTGGTTTCTGATGATCTTCACAGGAGACTAGAGAAGGAACTCTCAGGAGGAAGATCCCATTTCGTTGAGTCTTGTGGCTTGCCTATAAGCACATACTTCTCTGCCATGAAGCTGCTTTGGCTGATGGAGAATGTGGATGCTGTCAAAGAGGGTATCAAGAAAGGGGATGCCATCTTTGGCACAATCGACACTTGGTTGATATGGAACATGACCAGAGGTTCCAATGGCGGGCTACATGTGACTGACGTCACCAATGCTTCTCGCACGATGCTCATGAACCTCAAGACCTTGAGCTGGGACAAAGACACTCTTAAAACGCTTGGCATTCCTGCTGATATCTTGCCAAAGATAGTAAGCAACTCTGAGGTCATTGGAGAAATCTGCAAAGGCTGGCCCATTCCTGGTATCAAAATCGCTGGATGTCTTGGCGACCAACACGCTGCAATGCTGGGACAAGCTTGCAAGAAAGGTGAGGCTAAGAGTACTTACGGAACCGGCGCTTTCATTCTTCTCAACACAGGAGAAGTGTCCATCAAGTCAGGTCATGGACTTCTAACAACACTATCTTACAAACTTGGGCCTCAAGCAAAGACAAACTATGCTCTCGAGGGTTCGATAGCTATAGCTGGAGCTGCTGTTCAGTGGCTGAGAGACAGCCTTGGGATCATTAAAAGTGCTAGTGAAATTGAAGATTTAGCGGCTCTGGTAGAAACAACAGGAGGAGTGTACTTTGTGCCAGCATTTAATGGTTTGTTTGCTCCTTGGTGGAGAGAAGACGCTCGTGGTGTCTGCATAGGGATCACAAGGTTTACAAACAAGTCACACATAGCAAGGGCAGTGTTGGAGAGCATGTGTTTCCAAGTGAAAGATGTGTTGGACTCTATGAACAAAGACGCTGGTGAAAAGGGATCCCTAGACAATGAGAAGGGAGAGTTCTTGCTTAGAGTTGATGGTGGCGCCACAGCCAACAACCTTCTTATGCAGATTCAGGTAATGATTATGATGATGATGATGATGATGATGATGATGATGATGATGAGTGTAGTTTAGTTTCAACACTAAATTTCATTGGCAGGCTGATTTGATGGGAACTCCGGTGGTGAGGCCTTTGGACATAGAGACAACAGCACTAGGAGCAGCCTATGCAGCTGGACTAGCAGTTGGATTCTGGAAGGAAGATGACATATTCGAGTCTGGAGAGAAGTCAAAGAACTCCAAAGTTTTCAGACCGGTTATGGAAGAAGCAACCAGGAAGAAAAAAGTGGAATCATGGGGCAAAGCGGTGGAGAGAACATTCGATCTTGCTGATCTCTCTCTTTGAAAACTTGAGTTTATTAAAATCCACGTTGTCTTTTTTTTTATAGGTCTGTTGTTAGGTCTAGACATCATGTTAGCTAGTGTCTAATATGTTCGTTAATCAAAAGTCTTTTGTGTTGAATTGCTTATTTGAACTTGAACTATTCTCTCCTTAAAACCACATTTGCTTATCTCATAAATTACTTCTTATTTACCATATTAGGGCTCTTTCTTGCAAGTCACGTTATGTTTAAATTCCAGTTCTTTGCTCTGACAACATTCTTGTGAAATTGGTGAAATTGTTACACAAATCACAGTTTAGCATCTGGCTTAGCAAAGCAAAATGCAAAGTTGATAAACTGAGAGACAGTGTCAAAACTGGTTTATAGAGACAATTATTTATGTAAGAACATTGGAAAAGACTTAGAAACCAGAAACATTGTATTTTTATATGAAATGACTAGTTAACTAGCTATAACATTTGGTACATGTTGGGTCCATAGCTCAGTGGTAGAGCAATTGACTGCAGATCAATAGGTCACCGGTTCGAACCCGGTTGGGCCCTTCTTTTTTTTTTTCATTTTTAAGTTGGAAGGGAATTGCCTATTAGAAACAAGCAACAACTGTGAGAAAGGGCGTTATGTTAATTATTAACTCAAGATTCAAGGTGGGGAAAAACAGTGGAAACACTTGGAAAAATAACAAAGAGTCAAATGAAAGCAAAGGGAAGGAACAAAGAAAAAACGTGAAGTTTGAAGAAAAATCTTCTCTTTTTGCCTTCTTCCTTCACGCAACCTCAAAGGCCATTCTTTTTTCTTTCTTTCTTTCTTTGATTATTCAAATCATTTTAAACTTGACCATTCATTTTTATTTGTCTTTAATAGGGAATTATTTATTTTAATGGCTACTTCCCACGTTTTAATATCAGTATAAATTGTCAGGTAAGAAGAAGCCAACTTAATCACAATCTTTTAACAAAACAAAATTGCAACTACATAACCCTACATCTCTAGAGTAATAGTACTTAGTTAACTATGTAATGGTCTACATCCATTTAATCTGTTGTTTTTTCAAATTTGAATTCTCATAAATTTTGTAGGGGAAGTTATGAGGCATTCCTCGTCATTGCATTTACTCCTTTGATAAATTCAAATTTCGAAAAATTACAAAGTATGGATATGCGATCATTATTATGTCACGGTCTCAAGAATCTCGTTGGTTTCTTTATTACGAAACTCGTACAGAAAATCATAACCTTGACATTCAATGTATGGTTTTAAAATCAGATATGAATTCATCAACATTATAAAAGTTTGTGTATTAGGAGAACATTGTGTGAGATATTTGTGGAAAAATACGAATCAGTTTGCTTACCAAGTCAACAAATGGACTCTTTATCTTCATCTATCAAATATCATATGTTCTCACTTCTCCTGTACTCAATCGGCAACAATTCTAATAATGTATTGACTTTAACATATTATAACCATCTAGAAAACTTTTTTTAAATCCAGTGTTCAAATCACGAATATGACTAGTGAATTAATAGCAAATACAAAATGTATTTATTTACCATCAACTTATCAACCACGAATTCTAGACGTGCAAAGTCAATCATATTGGAAACTTTTATAATTATTACTAAATTAATAAATGTGTGGCATAAATGTCAAGAAAACACACGCACACAAGAAGACGGTCTTCTTTAAATAAAAGGGCAGACGAATGTCTTTCGGACAAAGAACAAAACATACTTCTCTTCTCTTCTTCTAAAGGTTTCATCAACTCCATACATCATCTCCACCGCCATGAGCCACAAGAACCACCACCTCCAGCCGCCGAGCTACGCCACCGACCCAAACACCATGTTTGTTGAAGCAGATCCCTCCAACTTCCGCAACATCGTCCAAAAACTCACGGGAGCACCACCGGAAATCTCCTCTGCCTCAACGGCACAACATAAGCTTCCTTTAACTCCAAAGAAACAAGCATTCAAGCTCCACGAACGCCGTCAATCATCAAAGAAAATGGAACTTAAGATCAACAACGATTCTTTGTGCCAGTTCAACCGAGGGTACCACGTCTCACCGGTGTCCCACCTCGACCCATTCTGGACGCGCGTGAGCCCACAGTCAGCACGTGAGAATCACATGCAGGAGAAGGAAGAGGAAAAAGCCATAGCGGAAAAAGGGTTTTACTTCCTTCCGAGTCCAAGAAGCAGTGCCGAGCCAGCACCGGAGCTTTTGCCTTTGTTTCCTCTTCCTTCTCCTCAAAACGATTATTGCCACTCATCTTATTAACTATTGTGCCCTTATTAATCGAAAGTTAGGGGCACGCACTTGATATCGCTGTTGCTTTTTACTGTTTTTGTTAGGGCTAGTATCTTTTTTCTTCTTCTTAATTTAACCTTTGGACTTGTTAATCATTCTATCATCCTTCGTTAACATTCTTGAATGGTCAACTATTCCGGCGTGTGTAGTCCACTTCCACTAGAATATAAATCTTCAAATGTATTTTGTAGTTTTTCTTACGCGTCAATTACTTACATTAGTCAAAAGAAAGATAAGTTGAACAACAAAAGCAAGTTGAAAAATAGTCGACGAAAACATCATTTCACAACTAGATGGTTTGATTTAATTTCTTTCCTTTTGGTGTAAGTTTAATTTAATTTCTACGTAGGACCCAAAAATACATACTACGTAGTTTTGAAAGTTAACTAACATCAAAAACTTAATAATTATATGTCCATTTTTCTCTACTTTATTTAATGGCATCTACTATCAAAATTATTTTCTTGTTTTGCTTAAAAAGAAGAAACAAGTTGATGCATGATGATGATTGAATAGATAGCCTACATGTCGCGGGGGAAAAAATAGCATGTCTATATAGACACATGATTAAACTCTAGAAACAAAGAAGTGTTGACTTTTTGGTAAAGGAAGAACATAAAGAAAGATCAATTCCCGTATTGGTGATAGGGTATACAGTGTGTAAACAGTGCTCTAATTTATTTTCAGATTTGGTGGTAGCGAGTGAGTAAGTCAGTGATAAAGCTGCAAGCCGTTGGATTTTAATGACAAAGCTGTGACGCAGAATGAAGCGGGCGGTTTCTATTTCCTTTGCAGATCCAACGGCTTAAGCAAAAAAAAATTATCCACTGCTAGATAATATGAGGATACATATATCTCTTTTATTTTAATAGAGAGATAGAACAAGAGACATTAAATACAAGCAGTAGAGATGTTACTTGTAATAGAGGGTGTCTCTGCAGTTATCTTTAAAGTCAGTTGTCAGTATATCCTCTGAACTCTGCCCCCTCTGCCTCAGGTGTAATCCAAATTTCAAAAAAACTCTCTTCTCAGATCCTAGCTCCTCCCTCCTAAAGCCCAGTTAAGATATAAATGGGCATCAACATTATTTGGTCTACTGGACCTCACTCCAAATACTAAAACAAATAATGGGCTTATGTAGTCTACATAAAACATGACTTATATTTCTTCATCACTAAAGTTGATGAAACTAAAACATGTATAAAGCAAACACAGGAGCTGAAACTTTAAAAATGCAAAAAACTGTTCTAAAAAGAAAAGCGTGAACGGCAGGATTCGAACCTGCGCGGGCAGAGCCCACATGATTTCTAGTCATGCCCGATAACCACTCCGGCACGTCCACTTTTGTGAAGAGCTTTTATTTTGTTATTTGTCAATATATACTGATTCATTCGAGTGTTAACATCGTTGACACTCTGTGTCAAATTGATAGTTCTTTCTCTTCTCTCTCGATCGATCAGGAAGGAAGGAAGAAGCTAGCAGGCAGGGTGCGTTAAGGTTCGTCGCTTTGTTGCTTTAAGTCAGTAATAGTCCTCTCCTGCTTCGTAACCTCTATGTTCATTGGATATAGTTCAGATTTAGCGTCTTTTTTTTTTTGATGTTTCTCTGCTCAATGCAAAATGGCTTTGTATTCTTTTTTTTTTTTAAATTCGAATTCTCATTGTACTTCTTCTGCTTGTTAAATCAATCTGAAATCGAATGCTGATTGATACCGGAAAACAAAGTCTAGTGCTATTCTGCAATAGAAAACCCTTTTGTGCGTAATTATTTTGTTTGTCTTGAGATTACAATGCTTTTGCAGGCTTTGTGTGATACAATAGGAGTATCAAAAGATGTCTCAGAAGCGGAATCTTCCTTCTTGGATGAGTTCAAGGGATCCTCCTGGGAGCAAGAAGCCCAAGGATGAAGGTGATAACCACATAAGCATCCCAAACAAAGAGCACACCACTAGAAATGCTCCTCCTCAGCCAAACCAATTCTCTAAACTTATGGTCTGTGAACTGTATACATAATAATTCTCATGTTAGCTTACATTGTGATTTGAGTTAAAAAAGCATATAAAAATGTGTTCAGGAAGGAGTTGTTTTTGTGCTGTCGGGGTTTGTTAATCCTGAGAGGAGTACACTAAGGTCCCAGGCCTTGGCGATGGGAGCCACTTATCAGCCTGATTGGAACTCTGACTCCACCTTGCTCATCTGTGCTTTTCCAAACACTCCTAAGTTCCGTCAAGTTCAATCCAACTCTGGAACAATTGTCTCCAAGGTCACCTCTTTCTTTTTTTCTTACTTTCCTGAGTGATCTTGAATTTTTTTGTGCTGATGATGTTTTAACTGTCTTCAGGATTGGATAAGTGAGTGTTTTATGCAGAAGAAGTTGGTCGATATTGAGCAATACCTTATGCATCCTGGAAAACCATGGAGGAAGACCAGTGTTCCCCAAGATACTCCTATTCGAGGTAAACAAGGAAACATATTATGCATTCATTAGTATCACTTGGTCAAATGATGAACAATATAATAGTTTTTTTTAATCTCATTTCCCTGGTTCAGTTCGATGTTTAGCTGACCTTGTGAAACTTATTTGATTGTGTTCCAGAAAAGAAGAAGCAGTTGGCTATAAAATCAGAGGAGAATCAAGTAGAGACAAAACCAGAAACAAGGGGAACGTCATCTGCTTCATCCAAGGTCTGCCTACATATCTATAACTGATGGGTTTGGTTAAACAGAAAAGGAACCGTACAGTCAATGGTTTTTGACTCCGTTGAATTTCGGTATTCACAGAATAGACCAGCTTGCAAAACTGTGAAAGAGCGATTTTCTGTTACCGAGGTGAAGAAATGGGCAAGGGAGGACCTAACTGAAACCATCTCATGGCTAGAGAGTCAGGAGGAGAAAGTAAGGGGGGTGTTTTGTATGTTGTTATATTTCAAAATACTTGTTTCTGCTGTCTAACCAATGCAACAGCCAGAAGCAGGCGAGATCAAGAGAATAGCTGCAGAAGGAGTGTTAACTTGTTTACAAGACGCCATAGATTCTCTTGAGCAGAAGCAGGTTGGTCTGTTTGAACAATAATAGCTGCTTTATCAATGGTCGCTTGGGTACAACTCAATATAGAGCTGTTATGTCCTCTTTGGCATTTTCTATAAACTCTGAAAAGATGGTTGAATCAAAGCGTTTGAATTGATCCTGAGAATGGTCTTTTTTTACTTTAGGACATAGGATCAGTAACGGAGCTGTGGAGCTTTGTGCCTCGCGTAGTGAAGGAGCTTGGAAAGATGGAGTCTTCTTCTTGTAAAACAGAAAACTCGACAGCTTCAAAAGATGAGCTGTGCAAGCAAGCAAAGTCGTGGAAGAAGATCTACGAGGCAGAGCTAGCAAAAAAGGGTGAAGAAGAAGAAGAAGCATCGGGAACAAAAAGCAGAAGAACCTCTGGGTACGACAGTGACGAGACCGTTGAAATGACTGAAGAAGAGATTGAGCATGCTTACAGGAATGTTTCTTTAGAGTGATCAAACTTGTTTCATTTTGCTTGCATATGATGAAAGAGCACTGGTTAGTTCGGTTTTAGTTCTCAGTCTTTGCAGCTCGAATCTATTGCATTAAATTCGGTTTTGATTAGCGGTTGATACAATTTTGATCCGGTCAGTAAGGTTCGGATCGGATCTACTTGCTGAATGTATTGACAACCGGCTTGATTGACTCTCTTAAATGACTCAACCGGTCTAATACAGCTTAATTAATGCGAACCGGACGAGACTAATGTAAACCGGAAACGCGTACCGATTCGGTAAGGAGGATAAATAAAAAGATTGAAGAAGACGGACCCTAATTGGTTAATCAGTTAGTCGTCTTCATCCGAAGTAGGGTTGAAGCGGATACTACGCCCACCTCTCTCTCTCAGTTTCCCAGGAAAAAGATGGGAGCTTCGCTTCCACCTAAAGAGGCTAACCTCTTCAAGCTCATCGTCGTATGTTCCGATTCTCTCTCTCTCTCTCTCTCTCTCTTTTTCTTCTACTGTGTATGGCGATGTGTTGATTATAGAACCCTAAATTAAGTTAACCCGTCAGTGTCAATAGAAATTCGCAAGTGACGTGTGTTTCAGTTAAGTTGACTCTAATAATGACCTGGTTGGTAGATTTTTAAGCTTAGTTGATTCTTAATTCAACTTTGACGAACACGAAAACCAAGCAAGTTTTAGGGATATCTACTTTAGCATTGGATATTTGAGATTTTTCTTTGTCTATGTATACTTCCTTAAGTATTTTAGTATATATATATATATCACTTAATTTATTCTGAGTGATCTTATAATGCAGAAATCTTATGAGACTAAGCAGTACAAGAAGGGACTCAAGGCAGCTGATGCTATATTAAAGAAGTTTCCTTCTCATGGAGGTCTGTTTCCTTTTATCACAACTCCAACCCCCTCCCTTCCGTTGTTTTGGAGTTCAAATCAATTGAGAAATTGTATCTGTTCTACTAGCCTACCGCTTGGGTTTCCTTTCCATAGTTTAAGAATCAACCACCATTACGAAATCTTGTCCTTTCCTTTGTAGCAAATAAAAGCAAATACTATAAGGCTATACTATACTGTATGTGAAGCAAAGGAGACGATTCGTATTGTTTATTTGTTAGTTAAGATCTTTGCTGTTTTGCGTCAAATGCAGTTGTTGCTTCTACTGATTGGTTCTTTCTTGCCTGCACTATTTCTCATGTCTTCTGGTTATGCTTTTCCTTCTCTTTAATACTTATTTCTTTATTCTTTGTAATTTTCAGAAACTTTATCCATGAAAGGATTGACTCTAAACTGCATGGACCGTAAGACTGAAGCATATGAGCTTGTTCGCCTTGGAGTCAAGGTTCCATTATGCTCTTTGATTATTATAACATCATTCCTTAGTTTCCGCATATGTTATGATTCTTCAGGGTAACATAGGATTTATGCTCTATTATTCCATGCAGAATGACATCAAAAGCCATGTTTGCTGGCATGTGCTTGGTCTCCTGTACCGGTCTGACAGAGAGTATAGAGAGGCCATCAAATGCTACCGTAATGCTCTTAGAATTGACCCTGATAATCTTGAAATACTCAGAGACCTCTCACTCTTGCAGGTATTTATGTGAGAATTTAATAATTGTCAATTCGTACTTTATCAGTACTCCTTTGTGTAAGCTCGTTTCTTATTCCTAGGCACAAATGCGGGACTTATCTGGCTTTGTGGAGACCAGGCAGCAGCTTTTGACTTTAAAGCCTAATCATCGGATGAACTGGATTGGCTTTGCAGTTTCCCAGCATTTAAACGCAAAGTATGTTATGATCCTTGAAGCCTCGTTACTTTACTCATTTAAATGGAATTCTTGTTTTTCTTCTTTGGACTATTTCCTGTGTATTGTTTTTATCAGAAGCTTACTAAACGCAAAGTATGTTATGGTCCATGGTTTGCAATGGTAGTCTTTGACATCTAAGGAGTAAATAGTGTACACCTTTTCTGGGATGTATCTTACATAAGACTTTTAGGAAACAATATACTAGTGAACAGTATTCAGTAGAATTATATTCCTTTCGAATTGTTCATTTTTTTTTATCGTTTGACAGTTGCTCACCTTGATCTCTTAATATGTGTTTTTATTTAAACCAGTGCTTCTAAAGCTGTTGAAATTTTGGAAGCGTTTGAAGGCACCCTAGAGGACGATTATCCTCCTGAGAACGAGCTATGTGAACACACTGAAATGATTCTATACAAGGTATCAAGCAAAAAATGTACAAGTGTCATACCTTTGTTATTTCTCTTGCCTTTTACCCTGGAAAACTATGCTTGTCGTTAAAGGGTCCATGTAGCTGGTATTCATTTGGCATTAGCACAGGTTTATATCTGTACCTGCAGTAAATGTCAACTGTTGTTTCGTCCAGGTTTCCTTGCTTGAGGAGTCCGGTGCTTTTGGAAAAGCTCTCGAGGAGTTGCACAAAAAAGAGCCGAAATTAGTAAGTTTTGGAAGCTGATTGTATTCTATATGTGGATCGTAGGATACACTAATATAGTTGTTTATATTCCTCGTGTGGTTGTTTCTAGGTTGATAAGTTGTCCTACAAAGAACATGAGGCATTTCTTTTGTCGAAGCTTGGTCGCCCAGCAGAAGCCGATAAACTCTACAGGGTTCTACTTTCCATGAACCCTGACAATTACAGGTTTTTTTCTTTGCACTTCTAATTCATTATTTTTTTGCTTAAAAGTTGGCTATCTTTTTCTATGACATTCTCAAAGGCTTGAAGGCTTTCTATATATATTTGGGTACTGTCAATTCATGTCAACAAGTAAATAGTGAATTCCTGTACTTTTCAGATATTACGAAGGCCTCCAAAAATGTTTTGGTTTGTATTCAGAAAGTGGACAATATTCATCTGACAAGATTGAGAAGCTAAATACCTTGTACCAGTCTCTAAGCGAGCAGTACACTCGGTCATCCGCTGTTAAGGTGAGAAAAGGTGGATCAGGGTCGGAACAACCGGTTACCCATTTTCATCTCTCTGATAATTTCTGGGTGCTGATAAATGAAATTCGTCTACTGATAAGTTATTCTATATTTTGCCATTTTCAGAGGATACCATTGGATTTTCTGCAAGATGAAATGTTTAAGGAGGCTGTAGCAAAGTACATTAAACCTCTGTTGACAAAGGTATCTTTTCTTTCCCTTGAGTCTCTTTGTTACAATGCTCTAATAGAATATGTTTCTTATATCTTGATGCTTGTCTCAGGGTGTTCCTTCATTATTCTCTGATCTCTCTTCTCTGTATGATCACCCTCGCAAGGTTTGTTTCCCTGCTTTTTTCCTTGAGCATGCTTTCGCAAATTCCATTGTACTCACTTTATTTTGCGATAAATGTTTTAAATGTATTTTGTTATCCAGCCTGATATATTGGAGCAACTAGTTGTTGAGATGGAACATTCAATTAGGACTCTTGGAAGTTACCCAGGAAGGTATATTACTGAAATATTAACTGGAATTTTCTATGATCTGTGGTTTATTTATACTAAATTAACACTGAATTTTTATCAAGATTAGTTATTAGATCAGTCATTTATTGTGATTATTTCTTAATTGATACAGTGATGTGAAAGAGCCCCCATCAACTCTATTGTGGACGTTATTTTTCTTGGCTCAGGTTCACTTTTACTATCTGTCTTAATTTCTCTCTATAATTAACAGCTTTTCGGTTAAATTTTTGCTCATCTTATCATGAAACGTATTTTTCATACTGCAGCATTATGACAAGCGTGGTCAATATGATGTTGCCCTTGGTAAAATAGACGAGGCCATTGCTCATACGCCGACAGTGATTGATCTGTACTCCGTTAAGGTATCTTTGCTTAACTTGGCCATAAGTTTTAAGATTATGCTCCATCACTTTTTGGTATGTCACTGTTGCTGCTTGCACCTTGTATGGAGACACATTTTTAGAAACTTCATTGACAGGATGGTGGTTTTGAACTTCTCTAGTTATAGCGACTGTGTTAACATAATTTGTATGATTGTGCAAACCGCGTATCAGTTTATCTTTTTGTTTGAGGACTCTTGTTTCTTCTTGATCATTGTACTGGTTTCTCTCAACAGAGCAGAATAATGAAGCATGCAGGAGACTTAACTGCCGCTGCCGCACTTGCCGATGAAGCTAGATGCATGGACTTAGCAGATCGCTATATTAACAGTGAATGCGTTAAGCGTATGCTGCAAGCAGATCAGGTTTACATCTTGGTTTTGTTCATTATGATATTGTTTTGGTCGATGTCCTCAGAGGTTAGTCCTCAATCTTTGAACTTTTCTGGTGAAGGTGACCTCGGCTGAGAAAACTGCTGTTTTATTTACAAAAGAAGGAGACCAGCTCAACAATCTTCATGACATGCAGTGCATGTGGTACGCCTCTCTAGAATGAGTAGTTTTGCTAATGCTAAAATTGACATTTTGAGATGCCTTTCTAATGGCTGTCTTTTGATTTTATGTCGTAAAAGGTATGATCTTGCATCTGGAGATAGCTACTTCCGCCAGGGTGATCTTGGACGTGCCCTGAAGAGGTTTTTAGCTGTGGAGAAGCACTATTCTGACATTTCTGAAGATCAGTTTGATTTCCACTCGTACTGCTTAAGAAAAATGACTTTGCGTTCCTATGTTGACATGCTTAAGTTCCAAGACCGTTTGCACTCATTCCCATATTTCCACAAAGCAGCCATCAGAGCCATCAGGTAAACTCTTTGTTACACATGTAATCCAACTACAGTATCTAGTAGATGATGCATGATAGCTTCCATTAAATTGTAGTCGTAATTACCTTTCGGCTCGATATTCAGGTGCTACCTGAAATTGCACGATACTCCCAAATCAACTGCTGAAGACGATGAAATGGCAAAGTTGGCTCCTGCTCAGAAGAAGAAAATGAAGAAGCAGAAAAAGGCAGAAGCCCGAGCAAAGAAAGTAAGTATTTTCAGTGTTTTGTCGAGTAAGTTGTCACTTCAGTGGCTTATGATTGGTCTTCTTCGTTTCAGGAAGCTGAGACTAAGAGTGAAGAATCAACTGCCAGTGGTGCCTCTAAGTCTGGCAAACGAAATGTGAAACCTGTAGACCCGGATCCTCATGGGAAAAAGTTAATCCAGGTTGCTGTTTACTTCATTTGTAATATGTATTGTGGTCTTCCCCATGATTTTGTATTATTGGTATTAACTTTATCAGAAGCTTACTAGAAAACTAAATATGCACAGGTGGAAGAGCCAATGGCAGAGGCTTCAAAGTACTTGCGACTACTCCAGAAGCATTCACCTAACTCTTTGGAGACTCATCTACTTTCTTTTGAGGTTAACATGAGAAAAGAAAAGTTTCTACTTGCATTCCAGGTAACTATATCCCGTCTGATGGTTATATTCAAGCTCACGGTTCTATAATATCCTTTGTCAATTAATTTATGGGATTTGGTGTCTCATTTTTCATTCTTCAGGCTGTCAAGCAATTGCTTAAATTGGACGCGGAGAACCCTGATTCACATCGTTCACTGGTATGGAATCTGTGCTACTTGTGATGTTCCAAAAAAGGGATTATAATGTTTTCCCTTCAAGTATTATGTGGGGGTTTATACTTTTCAACTTGGATGGCAGGTTAAATTCTTTCTCAAGACAGGATCGACAAGTGCTCCAACGACTGAAGCTGAGAAACTTCGTTGGAGGGTCCTAGAGGCTGAGCGCCCTTCAGTCAGGTGACTACTCAAACTATTATTATTATCCGTTGTTACTGTTGATTTTCTATATCAGTTGTGAGATGAATTGTCCATTCGTTTGCGTTCTAGTCAATTGCAGGATAAATCATTAATGGAGGCAAACAAAGAGTTTCTGAGTAGACACGAAGGTGCGTATTAAATTAATAACATGATACCCTCACGAAGATATCACATTTTCTGCAAAACAAAAATGGTAACGTTTGCATTTCATTTCCACAGATTCTTTGGTGCACAGAGCTGCGTACGCAGAAATGTTGTACCTGTTAGATCCAAGCAAGAAAACTGAGGCTATCAAACTAATTGAAGGCTCAACCAATAAAGTGGTTCAATCGTAATACTCCTTCAAACATATTACCTTATGATTTCTCTGTCTCTCTGTTTGTTCATAGGTTTAACATCGGTTATCCATGTGCAGAAATGGAGCTGACGGACTAGCAAGTGAATGGAAACTCAAAGACTGTATAGCAGTTCATAAGCTCCTAGAGACAGTTTTCCTTGACTCAGAAGCTGCCTCAAGTAAGCATTAAAATATCTTCACTGTGATGTTTCTATAAAGTACTGTACCGGTATGACTGTATGCGGCTGCATTTTGAAGGGAAAACATTACAATCCTTTTTTTAAAGAATTTAAAAGTATTAAGCCGGGGTTTGGGTACAATTGCAGGATGGAAATCACGCTGCGCCGAGTATTTTCCATATTCGACTCACTTTGAAGGCAAGCGTAGCTCTGTGATGCCTGATTCAGTGTACAACTCATCTCGCAAGAGCAATGAGAATGGCGACACACCAAACCATCCAATGGGTCAGACTGAAGTGAAGGATGGACAGCTCGAAGCATTCAAGAGCCTTGCCGTCTCAACCTGAAGCACTTTTTGTACTAATAAGAGAGGCAAGTCTACCCAGGAGATAATATACACAAAGACAGAACGATCATACTTGAGATTTTGATGAATCTTTTGCAGAGGTGTGGACCAAAAGATGTCAAATGTGTATAACTGTTTTTCTATATAAGGCAGGGTCTCTGAAGTCTGATGAACAATGACACAGAGAGAGCAAAGGGTCTTTTGTCTCTTTTCGTTTTGTTTCCCTCTCTGACACTTTACCAGGATGTTTCAGAGCTTTCCTTGTTGTTGTACCCGTTACATTATTTATTCACCCAAACTACATTATCTTCTGTTTTAAACTTCTTTACCATCTCTGGGAAATTTTGATAAGCGTTCTCTTTGTGTGGTGTTGCATCGCAAACGCAGAAACGTATAAACACCATTATTGAAGATTTATTGATGTGGAAAGTGTACAGCTCTTAGAACAAACAAAATGAATAAAACAATCTCTCAACTATACAAGTCTGGAAGAAGACTCTAATTATACACAACACAAACTCGATGCATCCCAAATAGCTTGAAAATAATCTCTTCTGTTCTCAGCTGTTGTGCCTATGAGGAGGAAGAAGTGCTGCTTTCTCCGACCTCATTTTTACAGAGAGGGCAAGTAGCATTGATTTTAAGCCATTTGTCTACACAGTCTACATGAAAGACATGTAAGCATGGCAGCTCTCTTACTTCTTCATCGTCTGCATATCTGGCCAAACAGATGCAACAGCTCTGCAAAACCAATAACATCCGATAATAGTTAGGCACATTCTACTCCCCATACACAATTATACGAACCTACTGATTTGAATGAAACCATGGTGCAACTACAGATATCTGAGTGTTAAAGTTACTTACAGCATCTTCCCCTGATATAAGACGTTTCTTCTCAGACCCCTGTAGAAGAAAGCCACCTTCACCTTCCTCTGAAAATTCCAAATCATTTCTGCTTTTTAATTTGAACTTGTAGACAGGAAGTGCGTTGATGGCTTCAGCAGTGGCTCCTCTTGTTTGTGAGAAGTTCTCCCGAAACCCGAGAACAGAGATTAAGCAAGGCAAACAACAACATATGGTTGCGCATAGTATGAAAGGCATTGCGTATCCAATGCAGCTGAAAGTAAGGAACGCTATACATAGCCTGCAAGGCCCCAACCAAACAGAAAAACATGAGTGTTTTGAGTTTCAGTTCTCATCCATTGGGGGATAAAGAGTGGATGAAGCGGACCTATAGAGTTTAGGAGAATCAGAAGGAGATGAGTGACCTCCAAAGATCCATACATTCCCCACAACAAACCACACCGCAAAGAAACAGTCAATCGCCATCTTGAAATGGTCAACCAGTCCACTCAATCTGCACCAAGTCATCAAAACAAGGATCAGTTTAAATTGCCTAACCAACCAAACTAACTAAATTACTTGTACCTAGTTCTTAAGCTATCCCCAACTTGATTGTTCCTAGGTGCTGCTGTCATGTCGGTGGTGTTTTCTTCGTCTGGTGGCTCTTGAGCTGCTGAGACGGGTGTATATGGTGTGGACTCTGAAGGGTTATTATTGCCTTGACTAGTAGTAGTACCACGCTGTGATGAATCTTGGGCTGTACCACGATTATAAGTACGAAAACGCCAATAGAGAATAGGGAGAGTGGCAACACAGCCAGAAGTATAACCAACAACCCATGTAAACAATGGGGCTTCGGGATGTTCATCTTTAGCGAGAACCATAACAACTATGGCAGCAACAATCTGAGCCACAGTGACAACTAACTCAACAGAAATCCAAAGGCCAGAATTCAATGGACTCCTCCTACTACTAGTACTAGTGCGACCACCACCACCATTCCCATCATCTGCTCTTTGCTGAGAAGGAGGAGGTGGGAGCTGTGTGCCGTTAGACGATATCCTCTGTGGAGTTAGGTCATCGAGAGAAGATCTAGAGGAAGAAGAGTCGTCTTCATTGCTAGTGATGTCAACGATGATGTGCTCGTGAGTATTGTGGTGGGAATCGTGCTCCATCAACAAAGGATCTTGATCAGTTTGGGTAGTGTTTCGACCAATGGAAGAAACGTCCATCTAAATCAAAAGTAAAAAGCTGAAAAAGCACAAGTCAGCTACTAGGCGTTCCCAAATGTTGTTGACATGTCATAACAAAGCGATGACATTCCAAGCTGAACTCGTAACACAATCTCCCCAAGAACCAAAAAAAAGGCTACACGTTCGTTCACCTGTTACAGACAGCAAGTAAGCAAAAAGCTTTAGGATTACAACCAAAGGAACATAAGAAAAGGAAGCAGACAGATCAAAATCAACCGTGATAAAGTAAGAAACCGAAGAATTGGTCAAGTTTGACTCTTTCGAATCCATAAAGTTCCGATCTTTATGAAGAAAACCCAAAACCCAGGATTCAAAATCAACAAATTTCAATCGTGTTCTTGGCATACCAAAAATTTAGAAGAAGAGGAGTAGATAGAATGATGAGTAAGGGGTTTACCAGAATTGAGAAAGCTGCTGCTATTATTGTCTTGTCTTACTTCTACTCTTCTCCTTCGTGAGAAAGACACCAAAAAGAAAAGATGAGAGAGCTTTCGCAGTATTTCGGGAGAAGAGAAGAGAGTGATGAGGAGACTTCGTTATGTCATGAAATGATAGCCGTTTGATCTTGAGGGTTCTTCTATGTAAATATCTAATCTGACGGTCACTGTTAACTCCTTGTTTGTGGCTTTTCGATCTTTAGAAGGTGTGTGCCTTGCAGGAGTTAATACCCTTTTTTAGCAAATTTCTTTCCACATAAACAAAATCTTATTATACTACTAGGTGTACTGAACTGTGTGTTTAAAGTGTAGAAGAATAAAGTAATTGTGTGAAAAGTAGTGTTATTCATCTTCTTCATAATAGCTTAAACTTTGATGTTTTAGGCTATCATATAGTATTATAGTATACAATGTAACAAGTCAAAAAAGAGAACAAAGTGTGATCATGTTGTGTGTTGTACTCTTTTGACATACAACAAGACAATTAGTTTGCGAGTATTGGGTTCCTTTCTTCATCGATATCTATGGCAAGAACACGGTCAGGGTCCGAGCCGCTTGGTCCTTCCGCGTAAAGGGTCGGAAGATAGGCCTTATATGCCGGCAAATACCTCGACACAAAGTCATTCACCTATATAACAGATAGTATGTTTCACAAGAGTACTAATTAGTATTAAAACCACTCAAAACGTTATCAATACCTCATCATCTGACATCCCTGGTTTCCCAGCCTGCCTCATGGCTATTTCCGCCTGTCCAAAACCAAAGATTCTGTTTCATGTTTGTACAAAAAAACACGTTTGTTTTTTTGGCTGTTAAGTATATATACAGCAGTACCTGAAGACGCCACCGGTATACATAACTTGGGTCCTTGATTTTGATGACTACCCAAGCATTTATGTACTTGTCCCATGCCTCATAATACTCTTCAAGGTTCTTATTCACCGTCTCCAGCTATTGATAGAGAAGAGAGGATTGCATTATAGGATGTACTATCATATGTATATATGTATTAGTTGATACTCAATGGTTTTAAGGGAGTTGAGATAACCTGCGGATCCACTGCTTTAACGACTTGAGCCGGAAGAGGTTTAAAACCAAGCATCCATCCCTCAAAGAGAATAACCTGAACCAAAACAAAATGTAGTGGTCTCGTTAACTTTGAAACCGAAACACTTGAAGAAGATAGAAATACATATATACCTTTAGAGGTCCTTCAACTTCAGGCCATGTTGTTGCATCGCCTCTGTCACCTCTTCCGCTGTACGCAGACTGCACCCAAAAATTGGAATATCTCAACAAGTTAACACCTTTTTCCTCTCTGTTTATGATGCAAAAGTGATAAAGCAGAGAAGGTACAATCAAGCTGTGACACTCACCTTATCATACCTAGGAACTTTCATCTTCATGCCTGTCAATGACACAAAAAAAAAAACTCAGAAGTTATATAAGACATCAACAGACAAGAATAAAACTTGTATTGATGGAAGCTTACCTTCCTTGGTCAGTTTAGCCAGTGCTTCTATTGTTTCGACAGAGAATGGAAGATCATGGCTTCCTGCATTTCCACGATACTGATAACACATATATGAAACAAATGACGATAATTTCAAACTAAAGAAGAAAATACAAATTGTTGAGAGTTTGAAGATGAGTATACCTCTAGGAGTGCATTTCCTGGATTCCCTTCTCTCAATTTAGCCTGAGACAAAAAAAAAAAGTAAAATAAATAAACGGAGAAGAGAAAGTCCAGGCAATTAAAATCATACCTGGCCTTGAGCAGTCAAGTAAAAATCGTCTATGGATATTGTCGCAGACTTCCTGAGATATTATTGCATTGAGTAAGTACTAAGAACCACGAAGATCTAAATGAAATAAACTGCAGCACTTGTGGAAGCAATGGTACATTTTAGTAGTTTTGAAAAGATAATCAAGTGCAAACACAAGTGTAGTCTTCCCACATCCTTGAGGGGCGCTAAATCCAATCTGCATTTTTTCAATCATATTTTTATCAGATTGATCTCACTCGTCATGTCCATTCATTGATTTAAGATTATAACCAAAAAGTAACTAGTACCACAAGTGGAGGCACATCATCTCCATCACTAAACTTGGAGTTATGCAGAGCAATCTGGTCTTGGCACCAAACAAAGACGGGGATATAGTAATGGTAGAGCCGAGCTTTCTGAGGAATGGTGAGCATAAGCTCATTGAGCTGAAAGAGTCTGCAGAGCTGGGAGCCATAGAGTAACCATTTGTCAATGGACTGGCCAACATTTTCAGGAGTAATACCAATCTTGTCGACGAGGGGACCAGAGCAAATGAACTCAAAAAGGTCAGAGACTGAAGAGACATCCACTGTTTTTGCTGGTAACGCAGAGCATGTCTTGGAGGACGTCAGCCCATTACTTTCAAGAACCATTGAATTGTCTTGAATCCACGAGCAACCACACCCTACAAACACGGGAAAAAATGAAAGTGTTTTTTTTTTGCTCAAGGATAAATGCTTAATTAGAATACACACAAGTTCTCAAGTGATGAGTGATAAAATTCAAAACCAGTGTGGTTGAGACAAGCAGATGAAGCAATGAAACATAAACATAAACTGACAAAAATCAAACAAAGATACGTGTGGTGTAAATCATCACCCAAACTGTTTAGTGCATTAATCTGATACTAACCAAACAATTCACAAAAAAGATCAAAACTTGAACCACAACAAATGTACTCAATCAAATCTCAAACAACACAGGAAAAAAAAAAGAGGATAGAATAAAGGCGTCGTTATATTTTTTGGGGTACCAGAGAAAGAGAAATGGGTGTGAAGGGGAGAAAGCTTGGAGGAGGCAGAAGAATCGGTAACGGCATGGTCGTGCTTTAATTTGGAAGAAGAAGAAGAAAGAAAACGTCTTTTGAAATTAAAAGTATTATTGCAAATAGAAGAGTTGTAAGGAAAAGGATAGCCTCCTTTGTTATTAATATTAGTAGATTGCCATGGCGACCATATCAAACTTGCACCCGCCATTCTCTCTCTCTCTCTCTCTCTCTGCAAGCAGCGAAGGAGACGCAAATTTGATTGATGCTATTTTATTATTCTCCAAAAAGATTTTTTAGAAAAAAACAATCACAGAATATGTGAGTCATATTCCTCCCTCTCCCTGATAATATGTAGTTTAATGCACTCTCTGTCTCCTTCTTGATTCTCTGTCCAAATGTCTTTTTATGACTAAATAAATATTTAATACTGTTTATTTTAACCAATGACGTAACCTCAATTTTTCTAATTGCTTCGGTCGATTAATTAATTAATTAATAGGTTTATACGAAAGCATAAATATCCCGTGACTATATGAAAAAAAAAACAAAAATGTACATCCCATCCGACTTACAATTTAACAAAAAAACAAAATCGACCAAATCAGGTTTGGAAGAACCAAACAAATTTACACTAAACCGGAATGTACCGAGTATTCTTAATATACATATGAGACCGTCGTGTAAAAGATTACTCTACTCTTTTTATTTGAGAGCGAGAGAGAGAGAGAGCTGAACATGAACTGGACCATGACCAGTTCACAAAATGTTACAGTCTGTCTTCTTCGTGTTAAACCGCTCGGTTTTTCAGAATAGCATGTCAGGTAGCTTTGGAGAGGTGAGTACAGCCACTGATTTGAACTGTAAGTTTAGCAAACAAAAGCAAGCTGTTTACATTTACTACGCAATTGATCAATGAAACCAACCAAACTGAGATTTAACTTAAACTTTTTACCTTGTCTTGTCTATACTTCGTGCGTATAAAGTTTAAGGGACATCCTTTGGTGTTAAGCTGCAGTTCTTGCATGGCCTCAACACATGCTTTCAGATCAGAGGCTTTGTACGTTGTGTAATGCTCAAGTGTTGCATTCTGTACATTAAAAACAATAAAACCCGTGTGAGTTGTTGTAAGATTTGTGGAGCACAGACAGCATAAGCGATATGTGTGTCTTAACGAGTAACAAACAGACCCAAGGGTGGCTTGATTGGTTCATTGTCCACTTGGCTAGAAAAACAGCTGATGCAGCTATAACCGAAGGAAGGTACTTCAAGAACTCATACTCTATTAACGTCAATTCCGTCAGATAATTCGCCATATACTCCATTTCCACACTTGGCATCTGCATATCAACACATTCCACAGAATAAATTAGTTTCAATCCTTCTGCTAAATGTTTGATTAGCAGATATGGATACATATGGACAAGATAAAAATAAGCAAATTACCAGGTGAGAAGCTTGAGCTGCTCTGAGAAATCTCCTGCAAAAATTAATGGAATCTTTTCAATCACTACATACAACAGCATTCTGAAGCATTTTCCCACTGTCTAGTGAAATTTTACCTGAGAAATGTTTTTGAAGTGGCAGTGTATATTTGAAAGCTAAAATGCTTGAGCACTTGGCTCTCCATTTCTACGACCTGATCTCTTGTGTATGTGTTATCCGTGATGTTGCACAACTCTTCAATACGTGGTGCATTGATTTCTTCGTACTTTCTTTAACAAGTTTTAAGAGAAACAACATAACTTCTTTTAGATCCTCTGCCTTTCAGACATGCATTACTGTTTGATAAGAGATTATTAGGTGATTAGGAACTTACGAAGCAATGAGCATACAAGTGACGCCTAGCAATTGAAGTCTTTGTCTTTCCATGTAGTTCCCATGCAGAAACCAATCTATTAGATATACTGTGAGGTAGAGAGTGTCAGGTACTAAAGTGTATTCCTCTGAGACCTGAAAACAGCTCTGACTTGTGAGAAAGACTTTTAAAGTTACCAACAAGAAAATAAACTATGGATGTAAAACTAACCTCTACAATCCAATCAACTAGAATTCCCCTCATTGTCTGAGTCACATCTCTTTGTATTCTCTTCATAAAACCTGGAAGTGGTCTGCGTTTTAGCTGATATATTTAGACAAGTCGTTAGATAACCAGATGCATCGTCCTAAGTTATCAAAATCCAAGAGGATTATTACCTCAGCAACACGCAGGTTGTAGTAGATATCAGGTGCGTATAGGCTACAGAGTAGAGGATCCTTAACATCTAAATCAATGTCAATGAATTTTGGGCTACTTGACACATCAGAACTTCCTCCAACACAACTTCTCTCAGCTGCATGAAGAAGAAAAGAAAGCATCAGAAATGTTATAAATCACTCACACAGCAACAGTGGCTAGAACCGCTTGTAAAATTTACCAGTAGAAGTTGATCTGCCATAGGGTCTTGGAGGCAACCCGGAAAAGCTACAAGATGCTTCGTTTGCGCCTGTACAGCCAGACAAGCTTACTCCTGCTGAATCTGGCCCAACTTTGACCTTTGCATCTATAACTTCCGAAGTAGCAGAAGATGATGCTACCTCCTTGGAAGAACATGCCCTTCCCTTCTTTATCTTCTTGATATTCTCCACCTATAACAAAAATGGGAAAGAAACCACAATAGTCAGCAACAAACATATTTCCTGTCCTCCATTAAAAAAGCAGAATTGTGTATATAAACAACCTGAAGTATAGCAGCACTGAAGCAGCTTGTGTAAGAATTGTCGCAGGTAACATTTGTGAGGTCCTTAAGAACAGCTCGCTTCTTAGGTGCCTTGGCTGTCTTACCATCCTCCAAGGCTCTTCTTTTATTGTTTGCTCGCAGAATTCTTCCCTGGTTGATGAGTGTAATAGCAGACACTTCTGAAGATGTAATGAGTTTAGAAGAAGCACGCAGAGCAGAGGCAAGGGCACGAGTTACAGGGCGAGCAAGGAGCGGAATGGCAGCTTTCTCCATCACCACCATGATTGAAACAACTACTTGAGACGACGATCCTTTTGAGGTTTTGGGTCGTCTTAGCAGCACATGCTCAACTAGAGATCTGTGAAATAAAAAAAGTAAAAGATGAATATGGTAAGAAGATGTCAAGAAAAGGATGTAACAGGACAGAGAGATGTGTATCCAGCATAAGCAGACTGAGATTTAAACTTACTCCGTTCCAGAGAATCATTCAAAAAAAAAAAAAAAGAGACTCCTTTTATTTTCCTTTTATTTAATGGGAGCTCTTGGAAGAAAGAAAGAGAGCTTTGGGGGCAGATGGAGAGAGAGACAGAGACTAAATGTTATAGTCAGGTGAGCGGGATATAGGAGCAGGGTGGGTTTAAAGTTTCTATTTTAATATTTCCCCTTTTAATTTTAGAAACTCGTTGACTGTTTGACGACCATCATCTTAGTGAAAATGAAACAACTTAACATATAGTTTCTTGTGCAATTTTTTTTTTAATTTTAAGTGTTTCCTTTTTTTCAATTTGGAGTATGTGATTGAGCATAACGTTTTTGTTGTTTTAACGTAACTAATCATTTACCTTTTTCATCTTAATCACATCTGCTATTTTAGGTATTGTGTGACGTCATTCTCATTTCTCCATTCAACTTCTTGTAGTTAATTAGGACTTATTATGATGCAGATGTTGTACTGTTTCTTGTTTCATTTTTCATTTTTCTGTTACTAAGCTCTAAAGTACACAAACAAAAATTAGTAAGGGAACCATAGAGTACTGATAGAGAGCAGTAGTTATGTTTTCCGATGAATTGTATCATAATTTACACAGTTATTTACACCCTTCAGATTTAAGTGCGCTGTAACTCATTTTCAAATGCGATGTTGCTTTAGACAGCGTGGCTATTCATCCAAAGGTAATTGAAAATGACTATAAGACATAGTTATATTTTAAAGCTGAATAAAAGTGATTAAATTACTAGCTCTGTTCAAATTTTGAAGTCTTGAAGAAAGATACCCCCAGTTGTTTTTTTAAATGGTAAAGTTTAAACTTTTGAAATATTCAAAATACTAACTAGTAAAATGAAACAAAGACCAAATGCATGTTAATCCCTGAATCAGTCAATTCTTGTTTATCTTCTTACGCTTCGATTGATCTTTAATTATTCCTTAAAGCTTATTTGGATACCACATGCTAAGGATGAATCATCCATAAATTCTAAGTTATCCTTTCAGTTTTATAATGATTGTCTAGAACTTAAAGAATCTGATTTATTCCTATTGGATTTGCTCCATTTTTTTAAACACACTTGGATTTTGACGTCTCTAGTTTTGGTTAAAGATATCATTGTGTTAAGAACTTTTAACTTCGTGTAAAACGAAATTTTTATCTAATTTTCCAGAACGTTTACTTAGACCAAGTCTACACGAACTTGGTTATTTAGGGGCCGGGGAGATGTATCCACGTTAAAAAAGTTCTTCAAATTTTGTTTTTCTTTGAAATAACAGGAATTACTAAACTGTAACTTCTCCTTGGACGCCACAAGATTAAACTAAAAACTTATCAAAGTTTTTTTTTTTGTAAAAAGGAATAAACTAAAGACAAAATGATTATAATAGTACTTTGAGGCTTAGATCTGCATGAGCCACTCAGAAAAAAAAAGATACTGAGAGAGTGAATAATAAAGTGGTGGAATCTGCATTTTCAGGTCTTGGTGTGTTCGACGACTTAATCTGATGATCTATTTTTCTATACATTATTTCTAAAATCCATAGCTATAAATATAATATTATGTATCGTTACATACGTATCATTTTTGTCTAAAAAATATCTTGATAGTATTTTGAAGTTTCAGATATGCAGTATCATTTTGTTGTTTGGTAGACTTTTATTGTTCATTATTATATGGAACTATGGAAGTGTTGTTTAGAAACGAGCAAGACCAGTTTAGTGGTGTGTAGTAGTATTCTCTTTGTTTATCACTCGAGTTCAAAACTTCCCAGCTCCATAATGCATAATGAGTAACGAGTTTCGGAAAAGAAAATCTAAGGAAAATTAAGATTTGAAATATACACTGATTTTTTTTTCTTTAGTAAACAACTGATCTTTAAAAAAAAAAAAATAAAGGTATGATTTAAACTGCAATTTTATTTTAAAATGTATGTTAAAGTCTTGGAAAGTAAAGCTATATGATTCTTCTAAACGAAACGGCAATAAAGTCAAAATTTGCATGCACCTAAAACAAGTGCTGGTTCAGCTTCACTTCAAGGCCGAAGCTGCTCTTACACATCTGACCACAAAACAAAACTCCAATAAATTGTCATGCAAAGTTCGAGTGATATCATATGATTCATTACTAATGTACTTTTGTAACAACAAACCAAAGTTGGGCGGATTAAAATATGTGTAATGTAGAGTTACACAAGACATCAAAGGTATGTTTGTGTGTGAATGGTATTTTACACATGTGACAACACAAAAACCAATAAATTTTCACGCAAAGTTTTTGTTGGTTAATGTGGAAAATTCAAGAAGAGTCGGAGTGTTAATGTGATATGGTCCTGTTTACTTATGTTGTAACCAAAAAAAGGGGGTCGAAGAGTATATGTGTGTGTAGACTAGCACACATTCAGATGAAAGAGAGTTGAATGATAAAAGTGGTTATTATTATGAAGATAAGGGTTCAATTATCAAATATGTATAGAGAGAAACACAAAGGGTCTTTATGGGAATATGAGGAAAATGAAACTTGGATCAATCATTTTACGCGATGTCTAGGCAAATTTTCTGGTTGATCACGCAAACATGTAGAAAATAAGCATCAGATGCAAGGAACCCAAAAGAGAAGAAGAAATTAAAAGCTATACTGATATTGACTTTTGGCGAGTTTTTTTTTTGTTTGTTTTTAATGAAAAACTTTAATTTAGGATAGGTATAAGAATCTATTAGAGTCTACTTTGCTTAATTTTTATAAACAACTTTAATTTGTTGTGTTTGAAATCTGCTAAGACTTTAGTAGTGTGTTCTAGTATTCTCGTTGTTTATCACCCGAGTTCCAAATTTCCCAGTTCCCATAATGCATAATTTCTAAATATATAATACTTGTTGCTGTTATTAATTTGCACTTGAATAACGAGTCTTGAAAAGAAAATTTGGGGAAACAATAAGATTTGATGTACAAACTGATTTTTGAAATAAAGGTATGATTTTAAACTGGGATTTTATTTGAAAATGTACGTTTAAGTCTTAGAACGTAAAGTTCCTATGATTCTTTTAAACGAGTCGGCAATAAAGTCATAATGATATAGGTCAAAATTTGCATGCAAACTTTGATGTTATGTTGAAAAAAGAAAGAAAAAACTTTGATGCTATATTATACAGCACTAATTAAAGTCGTCAAAGTATAGTTGGAATATATTTATATAATCACGCACAACACACGATACGAGTATTTCAAAAGGTAAACTAAAAGAGCTGTCTATAAACCAAAAGTCTCAACCACTGAGCACATGGGAGAGTGGGAGTTACATAATATTCAAAACGCTAAGCATCTGGAATTTCAAGTTTAAGAAAGATATATATGTTGTATTGGCCGACTTTAAATGTATATTTTATATGGAAGATGAATGCGTTAAAGCTGTTAGTGTGAGAAGGACGTAAGATGAATGCGTTAAAGCTGATAACGTTTTACGGTTTTATGGATAGATCAAATGGTTAGATCTACACCATTCAAATTAATTAATACACACGTAGAACACAAAAAAAAAAGGATTTCAAAGTCACAGACAGAGATCTATATTCATGCAAAGTTTGAGTGATGTGATCTAGTTTACTGATTTTGTAACCATTAACTGAGGTCGAAGAGTATATCTTGGACCACATTAAGTTGAGAGAGAGTTGGATGGTAAAAATGGTTATTATTAGTAGATAAGGGTTGAAATATCAAATATAGAGAAAAACAAAGGGCCTTTATGAGAATTTGAGGAAAGTGAGAGTTGGATGATTGGATCAATAATTTTTACGCGATGTATTGGGGAAATTATCTGGTTGAACACGCAAACATGTAGAAAAGAGGCATCAGATGCAAGGAACAACCCAAAAGATAAGAAGAAATTAAAAAGTTATCCTGATTTTCGAATTTTAGGTAGTTTTTTTTTAAAAAAAAAAATCTTAAATTGGTAGTTTAGAGACTGCTTAGCTTAATTGGATAGAGACAAAGGAGATCAAAGGAAAGGCGTTACTCTTTTGGGATGGATGAGTATTAAATTAAAAGTAGATTAAACTTTTCTTTTTACAAAGTAAAATCAAGGGGAGGTTGGTGAAGAAGAAGAAGAGGACGAGGAAGGCGAAGCACAACAGGCGTGTATAACGCTCATTCCTCTTTTTAGGGTTCGTCAAAAGATTCCTTTTTTCTTATGCATTAGCTGTGCTTTCGAATTCTTAATTAGTATTTATACATCTATTGATCCAACAGTTTTTTGGACCCAAATTCACAAAATCTCTCTCTCTCCATTGCCCTTCAGAGTGTATCATCAGCTTCGGAAATGGGATCGTTCGGGATGCTTTCGAGGAGAACATTGGGCACAGATGTCCCCGTCATGACTCAGGTCAACCTCGTACCTTACCAATTTTTGATTCTTCTTTCTTTTTTTGCTTTGGTTTTTGTGAGAAACACAACACTGTTGTGATGTGGGGGTGGGTTTTGCGTGCAGATTCGGAAACTAATGGCGGAGTTGACCAACCCCATGTCTCTTGCTCAGGTTTCCCCTCTCTCTTCTTCTTTTTGTTGCCTGCTTCTAGAAATATGTGTGTTTGTATAAATCATAGTTCTGTGTGTTTTACTTCTCAACAAGACTTTGGGTTTCGTGAGTGTTTCAATGTAATTTATTTGTATTGGGAGGAGGATGATCACTTGTGTTATTATTACTCTGTCTCGCTGATTCTTTCTATGTAAACCAAAAAAAAAAGATATAATAATTAATAATAAAATCATGTGATTCCCAGGGAGTGGTGCATTGGCAGCCTCCTCAAAAGGCCTTAGATAAGGTCAAGGACATTGTCTGGGATCCTATCGTTAGTTCTTATGGACCCGACGAAGGTATTCCCGAGCTTAGACACGCTCTTAAGATCAAGGTAATCTATCATTTAGTTAAGACACATAAATATAGTGAACATTCTCATCTGCTTCTTTCCTTTGTCTGAGCTTTGTTTTTTTTTTGGTTCCTAAAAGCTGCGTGAAGAAAACAAGCTCACCAAATCAGCTGTGATGGTTACCGCTGGTGCCAATCAGGTAGGCAAACACGCTCTTTGTCTACTCTTTCTTTGGTGCCAAAAGGCTCTTCTTATAGTCTCATACTCTGTGTTTTTCCTTGTATCAAATTAATGCAGGCGTTTGTGAATCTTGTTCTTGCACTATGCGATCCCGGTGATTCTGTTGTCATGTTTCAGCCCTACTACTTCAATGCCTACATGGCCTTCCAGATGACAGGAGTCACCAACATCATCGTTGGTCCTGGCCATCCAGAGACTCTCTATCCCGACGCAGGTACCCTCCTTCACTCTCTGAATCACATCTTTTCATGAATAGCTTTTGAAGTTGTGACTCGTGAGAGCCTCTCTTTTTTTTGTTTGGCAGACTGGTTAGAGAGGACACTCTCTGAGTCTAAACCAACCCCAAAGGTTGTAACTATTGTAAATCCTGGTAACCCAAGCGGATCCTATGTCCCCGAGCCGCTTCTTAAGAGGATTTCAGAGATATGCAAAGATGCAGGGTGTTGGCTGATTGTAGATAACACATACGAGTGAGTCATTTGCTGATTTGAATGCTAGTTTAACAGATGTATAAGAGGATTGATTTTGAAAAATGGTCAGGTATTTCATGTATGACGGTTTAAAACATTGCTGCGTTGAGGGAGACCACATAGTTAACGTCTTCTCCTTCTCTAAAACCTATGGCATGATGGGTTGGAGGCTTGGATATGTGAGTGCCTTTCTCTATTTCTAAATTCTTGATTATGAAACGTTAATCTTAATGAAACGTATTTTTGATGGAGTCTCGCAGATAGCATACTCAGAGAGACTAGATGGGTTCGCGGCAGAGCTCTTGAAAATTCAAGACAACATACCAATCTGCGCCTCAATAATATCTCAGCGGCTGGCTGTATACGCATTAGAGGAAGGTGGTGGGTGGGTAAGAGAGCGGGTAAAGGGTCTGGTGAAGAACAGGGAGATAGTGAAAGAGGCCCTAGAGCCGCTGGGGAAGGAGAACGTGAAGGGAGGAGAAGGAGCGATTTACCTGTGGGCAAAACTGCCGGAGGAATACAGAGATGATTTCAAGGTGGTGAGGTGGCTGGCTCACCGGCATGGAGTGGTGGTGATACCGGGGAGTGCAAGCGGGGGAGCAGGGCATGTGAGGGTGTCGTTTGGAGGGTTGAAGGAGGAAGAAATGAGAGCTGCTGCAGAGAGGCTGAGGAAAGGACTAGAGGAGCTGGTTCAGCGTGGAATGGTGGAGTGAGTGAGCTGGCTTGTTTGTTCATAAAAAAAGAGTTGTTACTTTACGTGTTATTGAAGTTATTATAGCCTTTTCATTAATAAAGAGTGTTTCGATTCAATGTATGAGCTGTTGTGATTCAAAGTCATTTTATGTATTGAAAAACTAATTAAATGAGGGGTGTTCCCTTTGGTGTATATAACACTTTCCCTTTGGTGTATATAACACTCTCTCTCTCTCTCTCTCTCTCTCTCTCTCTCTCTCTCTCTCTCTTTATTTGTTCAGATGATCATTTTCATTCAGTAAATGCGAAGTTATAACCCTTTCGATTTGTTAAGCAAATATTCTTGGTAGATAATGAATAGATACCTTTGTAATCAAACCTTGAAATTAGAATTTCTGTAAAGTTTTTAATTAGATTTAAGGTGGGCCTTAAATGGGCTAAATTTGAAATAAACCCGAATAAAGAGAGAGAGAGAGAGAGAGAGAGAGAGAGTGGACCAACAACTTAGATTAGATGACGACCAACTTCTTCCTTATTTGTCTTCCTTCCCCCAATTGGCTCTTCCAACCTCGCCGTCACCTCGCCGACGAGTGTCTCAAACTGTGTGCGTTATTTGTGTGTTGTTTATATTATTACTAGGATAAGACCCGCGCCTTGCGCGGGATGAAACTATTATTTTATTATGTTTTTAAAAATGAAACAATAGTTCGGTTTCATTCGGATTAGAGGTGTTCAATCCGGATATCGGGTTTCGGTTCGGCTCGATTTTTTGGTATTTCGATCATTAAAATATAACTACTATTCTAAATTTATATGTACTTCAGTTTGATTTGGTTTATATACCATCGGTTTTCAGTTTATTCAATTTTATACCAAAAAACATAATTATTTAGTTTGAGATCATATTATATATTATACAAATATATAATATGATCATATTTAGAGTCATATTGTCACAGAGTTATTTATTAAATTTTTTTATATATTTAAATAAAAGAATAAAAAACGAAAAAGGCTTCTATCATCTAATAAAATGATCAAATCTAGAATTAATATCAAAACACTAAATTTTGAAAATAAAAATAAAAAACAAAACAGAAGCATGAAAGAAATTTTTTTATATTCTTCCATATTTAGTGTTCATCAAACCAATATGTCTTCGATTGAACACAACTCTATTTGTTTAAAGATAAAAAAAAGTTGTAAAGAATTTCAACTAATTATTGTCCATCAAATTTATAATCTTTACTTCAATTTAGTTACTGTTAAAAAAACAAAAGATCAAAATAAGAAGTCTTAGTTGTAATAAATTGTTAGCTATTTACAAATTATAATTATAGTTCAACTCATGTAACAGATAGATATTCATGCGTCGTTATAAATATATACATATTTACATGTTTCAGTTTAATCGATTATAAATCAAACCATATCCAAATCCTATGGTTTTTATAAAATCACATTTATTCGGTT